GACCCTAAAAATTCCTCATGAGCATTTTAAAAGGGGCTGTACTAATTTTAAAAGGAGCCAGACCATAATGAATTAGGGGGGGTTTGAGGTCATTAGGGGGTATAATAGAAAATCCAAAGGAATTAGGGATCCCCTTGACATCCGAGGTTTTGGTTGATTTTCATATGGTTTTATAAAGGATTCTGTATACAACAACTGAATGCGATTTTAATTGATTTTAGTACAGTTTTAGCAGTATTTACGTATTTAATTAAATCTCGATTTAATTTCATCCGATTTCAATTGATTTTAAACAGAATCTTAATTACACTTCTGTTGACCCTAACGGGATTTTAATTCGATTTCAATAGAAGCAGCCCTACCAAATTCTTTCAATAAATGTGCCCCCCTAATAATAAACAATTTCTGACCCACCGGATTATGTATTATTACGCAGGGGGGGGTGGGGGCATCGTTTATTATTAGGGGGAAGGGATTAATCTAGGCGTCTGCACAAAAGGCGTGACCCGCAAACTTCTCCTTGTGCTTGGCTCACAGATAACATCCCAGTACTGATTGCAAGTGCGTCGGTTGTTGTGTCATGCAGTCATCGCATGAAGTATGTGTTCCCCTCCGCACCGCCCTCTCAGCTTGTACGGTGCGGCAAAACCTGAATTCAAGCCTCACAGAGGAGCACGTGAAATCCATAAGGCTGTATTTTTGCGCGAAATTGCAAGACTGGGGTCATGCCCTCAGCCCTGCAGCCCCTAGAGCCGTAGAGGCCCTGTACAAGCCCTGGCAACCTTTTGGGTATTCTAGGCCTCCGACTAGACATGAGCCCGGTCTACATTGACATTCTTGTTGCAGTGCTGTTTGGCAGGCACGCGCTACTCTTGAAAAAAATCTTAAGACTCACAGGGAGTACTTGTGCCAGTTGCATGATCAAACGCCCATCGGCTGCAAAGGGGTCAGTTGCATGTTGAGGGGTTCCACGGGGGTCCAAACAGGGCCTGCCGCAATTGAGGCTCAAGGAAATGAAGGCCTTGCCACAGCTTTGCAAGCCGGAGCCAAGTTGTGAAACAAACCATCTGAGAAGACTCAAGAAACCGCGAAGATGAGAAAACGCGCGAAAGCCCTGTCCGCCTTGTGCCACGAAGCATTGCACAACGGCCAAGAGCTTGTAGGATGGACTCAGCTTTTGCACGGAGCGTTTTCACGCGTGCTTCTCGACTGGCTTGCGAGAAGATAAGAAAAAGCAGCTAGCCTTGCCACATGACAGGCGGCTGTACTGCAAATTCAAACCATGGCGCAGCTGCTGCGAATCTTGAAACTGTTGAAACGATATTCACAACTCATAATGCAGTTATTATACTGCAGCTGGACTTCTTTGAGTCACTGCGTAAGCATATCATGTGTCACGATCATATGCGTCTGCTGCGCAATGCAGAGCTCCTTGCAAGTGACTTCGGATGATGCTTTCGATGGCAGAACCTTAAGTGTTAATCCGTTAGAGAATGAGACATGTCGTTACGCATTCCAATCAGGAAGGGGAAGCTTGTTGCAGTCCTCGTCCGTCGGAATCACCCAAACTTGCGTGGCATGTCGCTGTGTGTCCAGCCGCGTGTTGTCCTCAGTACGCTGTCGGCAGGCTGAGGCAAGTCCTAAAAGGCGTGGACTCAACTCGCTCGAGTGCTTAACACCAGGGATGCGGGATGCGTCCCTAATTACCACGTTTCCAACAATGGCTGCAGTTTTGCTTCAGTTTTAGGTTCACCTGGGAAAGGATTTACTTTTCTAGCCGCGCCTAGATTTTGCCGACTAGTCTCCGTGTCTAGGGCCTGTGACTGAACTGTCTGTTGGATTTAGGGTGTTCGTACTCAAATCTGATCCAACTAAACGTAAGCTGCCGCATCTGATCCTTGATTGAGGTTAAACACCCCACCAGGCAACACCACGCAGGCAAGTTGCGGAGAAGCGCCCTCCCTTTGCCTGGTTGACTTCCTGTGCCAGGACCGGAAATCAAGCAATTCAGAGCAACACCTGCTAATTTTCACTGGTCAACCTGCAGCTTACATTTGGCGTTCGAACTCTTGCTTCCTCGTTGATTTCGAGGCCCAGTCGATCCAGGCCCTGGCAAACAAGCGTCCTCGCCGCAGGCTGAGACATATGAGGAACTGCCGAACAAGCATTTGATGAGGATGTCATGCTCTAGCAGATCTTGTTCTGCTTGTCACAGTTCTCGAGGTCCCTTTGCCTGATTTTATGCCGTCGTTCACCTCATCTTTAATGTCCTGGCCTATCGGGGTCTTGGCTGGAACAGTCTGTGAAAGAACGCCAAAGGCCGCATGCCATCACTTCCAACCAGCTAAAGACTTGCATGCTTCCTGACAATGGTTTTCCTGCTACGGCCCCTAGGCCCCAGCCTATAGGCTGTAGCCCCCTACGGAATGGCGAGATGCGGGGATGCATCTAACAAGGTCCACTCAGTGCCATGATCTCTTGGTGTTTAATGTTGCTGAGTAGCATCAATTTCATGTGCTGCATGGATTCTAGCCATACGTAGCCATACCTTGATACAGGTATAGTGTAGCTACTTCCAGTCTGTGCTGGTTAACTGAAGGATTTGAAAATCTGTTACAAGCAAAGCCTGGAGCTTGGTTTGCAGTTGAGCCTCTTGGTCAGGGTTCTACTGAGGAAGTTTTGGGAGAATGGAAAATAAAATATGGAGACCTTTGACGTACGCCAGCTACACTGACTTGTGTAACAATGTAACCCTGTGCCCCCCTCACAGCCAATTTCAGGCTGAATAGTAGCTTCCATTTTTGTTTCCATTACCTCTATAGAGCCCCTATATAAGCCAGCTCTGGCTGTCCTGAGCAGGTGGGACTTCTCACCCAACCCTCCGGTGAACACCAGGGCATCCACCTCCCAACAGAAGCGTGCAAGGTGAAAATGACAGGTTCCCTGAACAACCCTTGCAGGCCTGCCCCTCCAAGGCTACCAGGAAGGCTCCCAGGTACTTCCTCATTCGGTAGATCTGTACCTTCCAAGGCTCAAGGATCCGGAGTCGGGGGAAAGTTCGTGGTGCGCACGAGAAGTGCCCATTTGCTCCATGCCTCCTTTGCCAATGTGCCCCGTGGCTTCTGCTCAAAGTATTCCCGCTCCACGTCGCGGTCGTCAAAGGACCCACAAAGCCCCAGCAATCCCGACTCCTGGCTCAGGGGCCTTTGAACTCATGCTTTGCCCCTTTCATGGGTCTTACTCTACATGAGCTGCCGACTGAAGCCTTGTTCATGAGATTGTTGACTTCCTTCGCGGTGTAACCCAGATTTTCCATCAAATATATAGGCAAAGCTGGATCAATATCACCACATCGGGTGCCCATGACAAGGCCTTCCAAAGGTGTCATTCCCATTGTAGTATCTATGCATCTGCCCTCCTTGATCGCGCACATGGAGGCACCATTTCCTACATGGCAAGCGATAATGTTTAGCTTGTCCAGCGGCTTCTTCAGCACTCGAGACGTCTCCTCTGCGACGTAAAGGTAAGACGTGCCATGGAAGCCATACTTTCTGACGTGATGTTTCCTATAGAGGTCATAGGGTAGCGCGTACATGTAAGCGCGAGGTGGCATGGTCTGATGGTAGGCAGTGTCAAAGACCGCTACTTGTGGGCAGTTCTTCCCAAATAATTCAGCAGAAACTTCTATACCGAGGATGTTCCAAGGGTTGTGCAATGGGGCCAGAGCAGACGAGTCTCGCACAGCTTGTAGCACTCTCTCATCTATCAATGCTGAGGACTTGAAGGCTTCGCCGCCATGTACAACGCGATGGCCTACAGAGCTTATGTTGTCTTTGCCAGGGAGCAGGTCTGCGACACGGCTCAAGGCCGTCCGGTGATCGGGGAGGTCCACCTTGTGGACCTTCTTGCCTTCGTGTGTCTCCTCCTTTATGCGGCACTCCGTCTTTGTTGCTATGCCCTCCGCAAGACCGTGCACTACTCGACTCCACCGACCTGGAGATCCAGTTATGCTAAAGAGTGCGTATTTCAAAGAGCTGCTTCCGGCATTGAGAACTAGAAGGAGATCCTTCGATGCAGCCATCAAAAGACAAGGGAGGGAACAAGCACAAGAAAGCCTGACAAATGGCTGAAACGACACGCCCAAACTCATACAAACATGCAACGCTCGTTAGTGACATTTCAGCATGTCTAGTTCCTTTGGCACTTTTTCATCTGATACCCACTCGACACTGCTTTGTGTTTGTGAAGTGGGTCATCAAACGAAAGATGTAATCTCATGGACATGTATTGGATGCGCTTCAGGCGAAAACTAGAAGCTGCGAGCTTGCCGAGCACCGGGCGGCAAATTCCATGTCAGCCTGGGTGCTGAACAGGCCTGGGTATGCTTGCCCGAGCAGGCTAGGCTTTTCAAAGTCCGGCGTAAACCTGCATCAACACCATTTTTTCTTCTAATTTTGGGACTTCCAACTGAAACTCAAAGCGCCGCCTGGGCTGCGTTAAACCTGGGGGTGTCAATGCTTGAGGCCCGCGCTTCGGACCAGGACGCCCGCCAGGGAGCTACGCCTTTATCCGAGCCACTCACAAACTGTAAGCAAATGTGAAAAATTCTCCCCAATTGTTCTTCTGTTTGTAAGGCTTCATCGATTGTGGCTGGTACGAACACTGGCTCGTCAGAAATATTCTTGAGTTCCTTCTGGCTGGGTTGAAATCTGGAGACGTCCGAGCCGGCTATCCAGCAAATAAAGAATTCTACCTGTAGCGAGCCCGTTGAGTCGCAGGCAGCGTGTCGCCCACAGCGGTGTCCCCAGCTTCCAGTTTGACTGCACCAACGCTTGAATCCTTGCAGCTGCAAGTATCTCGAGTGTCACCCCCAGGTCGGCCCAACAGCTTGCACAGCTGCCTTATCCAGCTGGAAAAGCGTCCCCAGGTAGCGATTATTCTCGTACGGGCCGCCAAACAACCTCTGGGCAAGGACAGTGTTTCGGCACCGGCACGCTTGAAGAATGTGTGTGTTGACCCATCATGCTCAGCACATACACACACATCAGCCTATTCATTACATAGATAGACTCCTGCCAAGGCCTGAAGGTTTCGCTCTCTGAGCTGGCGGCTGCCCAGGGCGAACCACCGTCACGGCGAAACCTCTCTCTTTGGCCTGGGACACGTAGATTCTGAAGCTAATGTTACCGTGACATTGATAACCCCCCCCCCAGAACTTGTTTTGCGATCCGGGCTAATGGAAGGGGGGGGGTCGCAATAATAAATGACGGTGGTGGCGGTAGGCTAGGTAATGCAGCTCGTAGTACCAGTAGTACAAGTAA